AGCCTCCCTGACAACAAGACCAAGTTGCGACAACGAGGTCAACCCACTTCTAAGCCCCAGAAGACTTGTAATAAACTTTTCCTGATCAAATTGATCCGAGCAAACAATTATTAAGTGGAATAATGGAAGAAAGTATGGAATGTTGTGTAGTCTTTGAAGCGTCCATTCGACCTTGAAGAATTCGTGATGAGCTTATGTTTGTTATGCCATAGTAGAGATTCCATTTTTAAGCAAAACTTGCCAAAAGACATAAATTACAAGATGGCCGCTGGCTTAACTCTCATAAACTTAACCAACTAGTTAGCACGAAAAATGGTAAGGGCAATGAGGCTATCAGCAAATGTTCACTTTTAGACAAAGTTTGTCCGCCCCTGCGATCCAGTCTCGTCGTGGCCCGGCACCGAGCTCCACCAGAATACCATTCCAAGCAGCTTAACCGTTCCATTCGGTTGTGCACAAATGATCAATCTGCGCCAGCGCGGCTACTTACACTATCAGACGAGGACAGATAAATGAGTTGTGTTCACACCATTTCGTTTAAGCTGATGGACTGGTAGTTGAATTTCCCCACTATGATATGAGTGGGGCTGATGTTTCCATTGGATTTCACATAGCTTTGCCTTCCCAAAAGGTGTTTTCATCCAGTCAGAAGTGGACTGCAGTTTCGACCTTGTATAGCAGGAGCTGAAACATGACAGTGCCGCATGTAATTTTAACAGGTTAATGATTACGCCACATTGCCACGAGTGGCCCGGATCACAGGGCAGATGTGCATTTCAAGGAAGGTGAACACAACTCATATATCTGACCTACCGGTAGCCTCGAAAGCCTACGAAAAAAGCAATGTCGTCGATTGGTATATCAAATATAAGTCTGCTTCATCGACCATCACAATAGAGAATGTGATGTGGGAAATGCACGACCTTTCTTGAAATTCACATCTGCTCAGTGACCCAAGGTCACTTGTAGCAACATGGCGTAGGGGTCAACGTGTCGAGATTACGCGCTGATAAGACCTATGCGAGGTCGGAAATGCAGTCCACACCTTTTGGGAAAGCATGGCTGTAAAATTCAATGGAAACGTCAGCCACACTCACATCATTGTGGGGAAACCCAACTGCCAGTCTTTTATCACCTTAAATGAAATTGGATTAGCACAACTCATATACCTGATTTAGCGGTAGTCTCGAAAACCTACCCACTCACGAAGATATGTTATCATTATTTTCGCCTAGGATACCTATAGTGGGAGTGGGACAAACTATTGACCAAATTGGGCCCCATCCAACTACAGAAACAGGCGCAAAATTACAAGCGGCTATGACTTAAGTCGGACACAGGGCCCCAAAGAATGAGACACAATGTGGGTGGGGATAAAGAAGAGGATTTGAAGCTTAGAGGAAGATTCCCAGACACTGGTATGTGCATAGGCATAATCTGCTCTAAATCCTCGAATATGGCCTAATCGAGGACGGGAATTGAGGGTTCTTAGGCAGCCAAAATAGTGATCTTGATGTTCAGCAGCGACCAATTGAGAAGCGAATGAGAAAAAAGGCGGTGCAGAATGTAGGCTAGGAGCGCTGCAAACGGCATCTGGTGCCAGTGATCGAGATGATTACGCTTGACTAAACCCACTTGTAGCGACAGAATTGTGTGAATAAGTAGATGGGCCATATAAGTGGGGTTGAGAGAATGAGATGCGACACTTGAAGGTAGAACAAAATATAGGGGCGAGTGGTGCCACAATGGTTGAACAGAAAATTGACCTTCGCTGACGATGGCGTCCCTCACTGACCATTCCGGCGCGATGTAGCCAACGGTCCAATGCTGGAAATCACAAATAATATGGCAGAGAACACGGGGCTAGGTATGTTCCACAAGGTCCCCTGACGCTCCGACTAAATTGCGAAAACGCGGTCGAACATTACGTATTTTTACTTGTACAAGTAGGTTTTCGAGAATACAATTAGATTCGATGTAAAGGCTGTATTTGTTTAAGACAATAAAGAACTGGCAGGTCAAAACCGCAGTACACCCCAGCCTGTGTCAAAAAACCCTTTGGGAATAAGGCTATGTGAAATTCAATGATACTTATAACCTTGCGGGGAAAATAAATTATCAATCTTTCATCACCTTAAACGAAACAGAGTTAATACAGCCAGTGTCTGATACACTGGTAGTTCCGGAAAACTAATTATAAAACGAAATATGCCTGGAATGTTGGTGGTGCAATGGCAAGAATCAAATAGAAAAACAAGCCAATGTTCGGGGATGCAGAGACTCATCGCTTACTCTTAGTGAATTCCTTTCTGCTATTCGCCATGGAGCGGGGATAATGAATACGATGACTCGTATTTGCCATCATGAGAGAGTGAAATAAACATAAACCAGATGCGTAATCGGCCCTAAAAATGGGGTCCAGATGAGTAAGTCAATACTCCAGGACCCCAGCCATTCCCAAGTATCTAGGCGATGGACTTAAGCAACGGTCGAAATAATGATGCGTTATATATACAGGTTTAAGGGTAACAGGGGTATCATGGAGCCAAGATAATTACTTTTCTTGGCTGCTTAGTGATTCAATTATGTACTTCCTACACGAATGAGTGGTGATCACTTGAAATAAATCAAGCATAGCAAGACGAAGCAAGATACCTTCCTGCAAGATGTATCCATGGGAGCTGATAGAACAAACTGATGATGAGGAATTCAAACAAAATAACGGATACAGTAGGCTTAAAAACCAATAGCAGTGTAGATCGAAACTAGGTGAATTAAATGAAGATATGAAGACCAAGATGTTGTGGCCTCTGGTATGGTCGCGGTCTCCTTTCGATTGGGTTGACCTCGTTGTCGCAACTTGGTCTTGTTGTCAGGGCGACTTTGTAGAACGCACCTAGTCCGAAGTCGTCTGCCATTGTAGTTGTCATGATTCCCAGCATCAGACAGTGGACTTGGTACATTCACAAACGTTTCGCCGGCATCATCAGTGAGTTTTGCTATTCTCCGCTCCAAGCTAAAAACTCGTCAGATACAAGTGAAGTGGGGCGAAAAATCTAATGAACAGGAGATTGGAGGAAAGTAGAGTTAGCGACAACTTTGCCCACTGCTTAAGCGAATTCGAGGAAAACAATAAAGCAAGAGCAACAAAAAGGAGACGTCTGGATCAAGGATCTATCGCTAACCGAAGGAAAAGGGATCGCGATGAGGAAAATGGAGGGTGGGGGGTTTCGGCAACAAAGCGAATATGTCAGTGAGTGATGTCCGTTTCCAATAAACCAGCACAACTTCGGGATCCTGGCAGTCAGGGAGCTGGGCAGACAGATAAGCAAACCGTCACAGAAATTCGACGTTATGGCTAAAATGTACTAGAAATCCACTTGAGATGTCGCATGCGACGAAAGATAGGCGTCCACAGTTTGCTCAGATAACATGAGATTAATCAAGGAAACGACTCGTGAAGAGAAGGCCTGATATCTGCAAGTATGGGAATCAGAGCTTAGGCGCTCTGCTGAATGAGGCGGCAGTGTATGTGCTTCTAGGTCCTTGAGTGAAATGCACACTGAGACTGGAACCGAGTGAAATCAGTCAACCAGAAAGATAATGAACGGATCTACGAGACAATGGGGGGATCCGGATTGGAGGCCGAGTAGGATTGGCCGATCGAAAGAGGGGGTCGTGATGAATAGTAAGCGCGATGAGGCCACAATAGATCTGCCACAAAAGGGCACACATTTTGACGAGTTGAATGTAAACAAGTGAGAAGTTGTAATAGAGCGTGAGTTGGATTAGAGGGTAAAGAGTAGATAGATAGGCCAGGATAGAAAGAGAAGTGATAGTGTAACCGTTTCCGGCAGTACGCTTGCCGAGGTATTGACTTCAATTGTCTCTTTGACGAGTTCGTAGCTTGGTGCGGAGAATGGCAGCACTCACTGATGATGCCGGCAAAACGTTTGAGAATGTTACAAGTCCACTGTCTGATGCTGAGAATTATGACAACTACTATGGCGGACGACTTCAGACTACGTGCGTTCCACTAAGTCGCCTTGACAACAAAACTAAGTTGCGACAACGAGGTCAACCCACTTTACTGAATTAAAGTTCCAAATAGTAGTAACATTTCGACTTCCACGATTGTGTTTATCAGGCAGGAGGCAAAATAGCATAACTGGTGAATTAGTAGCCTAAAATCATCGGGTAAACGTCCGATAACTTCGCCCAAAAAATTATATTTACTGTATGTGATACATCAGCTAAAGAATGAAAGTTCTCTAATTAGTATTTTTATTGTAAGGACAAAAGTATATGAGTTATGAAAGTCATCCGAAAAGAAACAGCTCCGCCTGAAGTTTGTCTCTACCGTCCTTCTTCATGCCAGCCCTCTGCTGTCGGCGTACATTCTGATTAAGAACTGCACGCCGAGCCCGCTTTCGTTCTTGTAGATGCCGGGCGCGGATTTGTTCTTTCGAAAGAGGATAAGTGCTTCGGGAGAGTGAGCTGGTAGTTCCAAGAATATTTGTCTCGACTGCAGTAGAGCTTGAATCCTGAAAACCAAATTTATTTATTAATCATGTTAGACAGCTAGTTAGGCTATGGAAGATGAGTGCTGGATAACTCGCAGCACAAACATGACCGATGAAAACAAATCGAAATAAATTCTACCTTGATCAAAGTGCAGTTACAGAAGTGGCACACCACTGTAATATAGTACATTTCTATAATGAACAAATTTTCAGAGGAACTCAATCAGGAAAAAGGATGTTATCATATTTTAAACAGCTTAACAGAAAATATTCCCAAAAGTCCATGAATTTTCTCATCTATTTGTACGATTCATAGCCACCCTATGCTCTTATCCAGACAACTGAACCAATTAAATATGATAGATAGTAAGCCGCAAGCTTAAAAGTAAAGGTTTACCTAACTTGCACATGCTAGTCTGGCACCCTTTGGTAAGTATTTATAGGTTATAGAAGTAAATGACCTGAAGCAAAACAAATTTGTTCAAAAGGTGAGAGGATACTGTAGACTTAATTAACCCAAAATTAATTACTTTTTGACCTTGGCTCTTAGTTGAAATGGACTAGTAAGATAAACATAGCAAAATCTTGTTTATATTATT